TTTAGTAGGAAGCTATAGCCCTCCGTATACCTCCCTCTTATTTTCCTGAGAGACGTCATCCAAATATAAAGAAGAGACATCTCTCCGTCACTCTTCTCCCCTCCCCCCCTCCCCACTCCCCCTCAACTCCCTCGATCCAAATAGAGGCTAGTTCCTTCCTACAGTCATTTCATCCCCTCCGACGGAGAATATCGACTTCGATCAGGATTAGACGGATCAGGGTCAGTTGGAGAGGAGATGGGTCCGACGAAGACTGTCCGCACGATTTCACAGGAGGCATTCGACGAGGTGGTGAGAGAGAACATAGAGGAGCTTGGAATGGATCCCACCGAAGCCCTCCAAGACGCCATCGATACCCTAACTCTCCAGGGCGTCGATCTCTCCGGTATGAGAAACCGCAACCCTTCTGTTCTGTTTGTTTCCTACAAAATTCAGGGTTTCAACGAAAAAGAAACTGGAAACGCAATAGAATACAACTGCAGCTATTGCACCAATCATCTAATGACCTGGCTGTAGAGCCTGGCATTGTGATAGCAGTGACTCCGCTTCAAAAGAAAACTGCAGCTTTTGCTATTTCCGGAAATTGTCCATCATTTCTCTTCTTCTTCTTCTTCTTCTTTTCTTGTATTTTCAGTATTCAAGTTTGCAATTCGCTTCTGTTAATCTGAAAGAGAACTAACGGGATTTTGGTAGTTACTTTTTTCATTAAACATCTAATTTTCATAATCCCACATTTTCAATATGACAAGCATTGTTTTCATTTTGGGTTTATCTTGTCCAGGAATAGTGAAGTGTGTTCCAGGGGAGGGTGGCATGAAGGAGAATCCAGCCATACAGTGTTTGGATAGACTAAAGCAGCTAAATGACTCCAATGATAGATTCTGCAATGAAGATTTGGATGAGATGCAGAGGTTGTTTGATAGGCTAATGGAATTGTGTGGCACTAAGGAATCTGAAAATGCTGCAATTGTTACTAAAAATGGAGGTGTGGAATTGGTTTGTTCAATTTGTGCTAAGATTCCAAGTGGGAACCAAGTTATTGTTTCATGTTTGAGAACAATGGCATTGTTGCTCAATGGTATGTCTCTGTCCTTAATGCTGTTCTATTTGTTAGTTGATTGAGCTACATTTAGTTTTGGCTTTTCTTGCTTTTATTTTTCAGCTTGGATCCCCCCTCCCCTTTTTCGAATGGTCAAGTTTCTATAGGTACTTTCATTGTGAAGTTCTTGTAGATTGAGGTGAAATTAACTGTAGGACTTGATCATATGAATTATGACAAATATGGCAAGTAAACTTGTTTAACATTGGTAAGTTACGAATGAAAATGCCTAAGGCCCCAAGTCAAGGTCTTATGGTAAGTGGGTACCAAATTGGCTAAGCTCTTGTTGCTACCAGATGCACTTGTTTGCACTTTGTTTTAGCTTACTCTGGAGTTGTTTTTGAACAAAGAAATTGAAGGGTGCTGACACAGTGGATAGGTGAATAGTGTTGAAAAATAGGAGCAAATGCTAAGAGTTATTGTGCTGCTTATGCTTCTCCTTTAAGGAACTATATGTTTGCAAAAATAAATTGTTATCTTGTTTTAGCATTGATAAAATTGGTGCCAACTTAATTGGCTTAAATTTATATTTATAACAAAGCTTATTACTCATTTACTTACCATTGTCAGACATTCAGAGTACAGAGCGATTTCGAGCCAGTGATGGACCATCAGTTGTAGTTCACATTCTCAGTGATGGATGTAAAAATCTGGAGATATTGAACAATGGTTTTGCTGTTGTAGCTGTGGCTTCGACTGGAAATGAAGTGGTTAAGCAATCATTCATGGAGTTGAAAGTTGATGAGCTTATTCTTCAAGTTCTCAGTGAACAAGAGAAAGGAAACATTCAAAGTTTATACGATGCCATACGGGTTTTGTTAACATCTGATGATAATCGTGTTGTGGCTTCCCAGGTAAGGGATTCATTTCTACCATTTGTGTATTGCTATTGTTCCACACAAAAGTTGAGCATGATAGTCATGCACAAATTTTAAAAAATTGATTAATCATCTATACCTACATAGCCAAAAGGCCCAAAACTTATGAAAGTTTGGGCTTTCAAACCAGCTACTGGTTTTAGAACCAGGCTATCAGACTAAGTGTGCTTTACTTTCCCAGTTATTCATATTTGATCTCCTAATGTATGTATAGTGTATACCCACCCGAACTTGGAAATTCCTTGGGTGTAACTCAATCATGTGCACACTTCAGGTTTATGGTTATGCTCGAAGATTTGCAAAAATTGGTATTGCAAGAGCTCTTGTAGATTCACTGCGTGCAGGGCTTAGCTCTCCTGGACTAGTTTCAGCAAGCATCGCACTGAAGGCTGTTGCTGTGAATGTAAGTATAATTGAACTTTGTGATGTAGTTTAGTTGATGTCAATTACACAAAGTTTTATGGCTTTCTGTTTTTGAGTAGCAGAAAGCATTCGCAGTTTGAACTTTGAAGTTGGATGATATCTTTGGAGGCCTTTTCATCAGTGACTTTTAACCTGTTATTGATCTGAATTTGGTAATTGTAGAAGTGCTATTAGTCAGTGACTGGAGAAATTATATGTCAATTCTCAAATGCCATGTATGAGACAAGACTGACCTTTATGGTGCATTAATTGAACAAATACCATCAGCAGAAACAATTAAAATAGCTGCAGAAGGTTAAATAGCATCTAGAAGTTTTCATCATTTGAAACATAAATACTTAAGCAATCTGGATCCAGTCAAGCCATTGATCTCCTTCCCTATGTTGGATAAGAAAGTTGGTGGTGTACATTATACCAAAAAAGGTTGGCGTGTGCATGATTGAATGTACAAATGTAAGAACTTACCCTCAGACTCTGGTTTAAGTTCTGAAAGATACCTTTCTATTTTAGTGAAGTATCTCAAAATTCTGGGTGTCATTTGCTGAATTTCCAGTAGTACTGACAAGATAACTAGGCTTACTGATGTTACTTCAAAATTAGTGGTATTCCACTGGGAAGCCTTTCAGCTGTGGTTCAAAACCATTCAAGTAGTATATTTGTGTTAAACATTGGCCATTTTGCTGTAAATAAAGGTTTTGCCTTTTTCAGGATGAAATATGCAAATCCATTGCTGATGGAGGTGGTATTGGTGTACTTCTGAAGTGTCTTGATGATGGCTGTGAGCAAGACAACAAAACTGTTGTTAGAACTTGCTGTTCTTTGTTGTCAAAGGTATAAATTTAAATCAGTATTAGATGATTGGTGTTTCCTTTCTCATAAAATGTAGCAAAAGGACCGGACCTGATCTCCATTTTGTCTTATAATCCCCCCCTTTTGTTTTTTCTTCTTCTTTTTTCAACAATGTCTAAATATACATTTGTCAAGACTATCTGCACTGCCTTCTTTGCTTTCTGTTTTATGAGAAGATTAGGATGCCGAAAAGAAATTTTAATTTTATTCAAAATTTGAATTGCCTTTTTCTTTAAGCTCATTTTCAGTTATTTTATCATTAATGAATAGTGTAGAAAGTGTGTAATTGAAGAGATAATTGTCATTGTTATGTGGACAAGTTGACAGTACATTGCCTGGTTCTTATTCATTATATTTCTTAATGGTGCACCGGTGTCCTTTTAATTTGAAAAAAGTCATGCTATATATGAGTACAAAAGGATTTTTAATTTTATCTGTGGCCTAATGTAGATAAATCCTCATTGGATAGTTATACACCCTGAAAAATTAAGTTTGTCAACGGCGGTAATGTTTTCTTTTTAAATTTATGGAGCTGCTGCTACCAATTTTCTTGCATCTTGAAACATTAATTTGTGCAGTTTTTAATTTTTCTTCCTCAAATGTGTTTTTTGTTAGTTGGCTGGAAGTGATTCGAATAAGAGTGCTATTATTGAGAAAGGGGGTATGGAAAGGCTAATCAAACTCTCAACAAGGTTTTCTGATGACCCTTCTGTTCTGCAAGAGGTAAGGGGCATTACTTTCAAAAGGTTTCAATCCCTATTCTCTATTCGTCCCCTACCCACATAAATGGGTTGTGGTGGTCCTTCATGGGAGTTGAGCCTGACCATGCTGTCTGTTCACCCTTTATGGCAAATCATGTGTTTTTTTTTTTTTTTTTGTGGGTTTTGTTATTTGATGATGATGAAGAATCCAACAAAGGTAGAGATTGGTTGAGATAAATAGATTGGTTAAGATGTTAGGGTTTGTAGAAGTTGAAGGAAAAAAAGGGGAAAGAGATGAACGAAAAAAAAAAGTTAAAAAAGGGAATTTTTTTTGAATGAGATGAGTTAGAA